TTGCATGGTTGTGATCTAGTCTGCATCTTTTAAGGCTTCCTTGATGTTTTTGGGTTCTATTTGGGAAAGAAAGGCTGAACAAGAAAGTGAATTTCTAGTTTTTGATCTGGTTTGTATTCCTCAATCTAGAGGGGTAATTATGTTGTCAAGAGGATGGGAGCTTTTATGTTTCCAGTTGGGCACTTAAGATTCATTTGTAGAAGACCTGGGTAAGTCTGACTGGTTACCTTGCATTCTTCTCTCAGCTACCTGTGGAGTACTTTGAACTGCATCAACCACTCTTTCTTCAGCTTCAGTGGTTGTAATTATGGTACATGATTCCTCTCCGGCTGATTAGGAAGAGACTGCATTGTCTTCACTTGACTCGTTCACTTGACTCATCATGTCTATCTTTCCGTTTGTCATATAAATGACTTCACCTGGAACCAACAGAGGCTCTTCATCTTGATCATCCTTGTTTCGTTTCTCACAAGAGAGATAGGACTCATCAAAGATTACATGTACACTTTCATCAACACACTGAGTTCGCTCATTGTATATCTTATAGGCTTTAATTTGAGAAGAGTACCCCAAAAAGATTCCTTAATCACTCTTGGCATCAAATTTTCCAAGATGATCCTTTCCATTGTTGAGAACATAACATTTACACCCAAATGTTCTTACGTGAGTCAGCTTGGACTTCCTTCCATTTAGCAACTCATAGGGAGTTTTGTTCAAAAGAGACATGATCATACACCTGTTCACCAAGTAGCAGGCAGTGGTGATAGCTTCAGCCCAGAAGTTCTTAGCAATCCCACTATTGATCAGCATTGTTCTTGCCATTTCCTCAAGGGTTTTGTTCTTCCTTTCCACAACTCTATTTTGCTGTGGAGTTATTGGGGCTGGGAAATTGTGAGTAATGCCATTCTCGTTACAGAGTTCATCAAACTTAGCATTGTTAAACTCTGTTCCATGATCTGATCTAATGCATGCTACTCTTGATTCCATCTTCACTTGGATTTTCTTCACAAAGGCTACGAAAACTTCAAAGGTTTCATCTTTGTTCTAAGGAACAGAGTCCAAGTGAATCTAGAGTATTTATCCACAATCACAAAGATATATCTCTTTCCTCCCCAACTTTGCACTCTCATAGGGCCGCATAGATCCATATGAAGGAGATCAAGTTGTTTTGAGGTGCTGACATCCTTCTTTGGCTTGAATGAGGATTTCACATGCTTCCCTCTAGCGCATGCATCATAGACTGTGTTTTTTGAACTTTGACATGGGCAGATCACGAGCTAGGTCCTTCTAAACCAGCTTATTTAGTAGAGAGAAGCTTGTATGCCCCAGTCTTCTATGCCACAGTTCAACATCATCATCAACTGCTTTCAAGCAACTCAGATCACTACTTTGCATGGACTCAAAATCAACAACGTAGATATTCTTGTATCTTTTGGCCACAAGTACCACTTCACCAGTTACTAGGTTTGTAACTATGCATATCTTGGACAAGAATTCCACCTTTTTTCCTTTATCACATATCTGAGGGACACTCAAGAGACTGTACTTAAGGCCATTGACATAGTACACATTCTCAATTGAGTGAGTGAGTGACTTTCCAATTTTTCCAACACCAAGAATGTACCTATTTTTCCCACTTTCAAAGGATGCATTCCCTCCTTGCACGGTTTTTAGTGAAAGAAAGTCCATGGTATTTCTAGTCATGTGCTTTAAGCATCCACTATCCATGAACCGTTGTTGACTACTTTCTTTCACTGTTCCCTACACAAGTAGATCACGGTTTAGCTTTAGGAACCCAAACAAATTCGGGTCCCTTATAATAAATAAGAGGATGATTAAGTGCTATTCTGGTCTATGCAGGTAACATGCGTTTTTTATGGGTGGAACCTATTCCTCTTTTAGGAGTTACTCTTTCAGCAAAAACTTTGTTCTTCTGAAGAGACTGAACCCTGGCTTTGCAATTTTCTTTCAAATGCTTATTGTTCCCACAGTAGGTACACATCTAGTTATCAGGTATAATTACGTACTTGCAATGAGAGTTATAAGGAGTTCTCTCCCTTTGAAACCCTATTCTTTGCCTGTTTCCACCATTATTAATGTACATGTCAGTAATAGCATTTGAGGACCAGGTCCACTTAAGGGACTTCTCAAGATCATTTTTTACTCTTTCCAATTCTGCTTGGAGCTGTCTATTTTTCTCAAGTTCAGCACACAAACTAGTTCTCACAGTATTTAACTTGTTTTCAAGCTTAATGTGTGCCTCACTAGCTACTTCTTTTCCTTTTTTAGAATTTCCTCGCCTACACTCAGCTCTGAGTCCCTCTATTGTTTCCTTTAAGTATACAATCACTACTAAGAGGTCATCTCTCTCCTGCTCAATAATAGTCACTTTATCCACTAAGGCATCCTTTTCTTTACTGAAATTCTCAATGGTTTCTTTTAAGTCAACTACTACTATAATCAGATCATCTCTTTCGTGTTCTATACTAGTGATTTTCTCAATTACAACCTTCTTTTCATTTTCTAGATTATCTATAGTTTCTTTCAAATCAACCACACAGATTACCAAGTCATCTCTGGTTTGCTCAGCATCTCCTAATTCTATGGTCAAGCCATCATTATCATTTACAAGACTATGATAGGCATCAATTAACATATTTGCTAATGACATAAGTTTCTTATGAGAGTAGGATTTCATATTTCTCTGAACATCCCTAAAGTTTACCTTATCATTATCGTCATTTTCATCATTGTCTGATTGAGCCATCAAAGGAAATATTGAATCATATTCATTTTTTTCACTTTCAACGGCTATCATAGAACTATCACTTGCATCAGTTTCTTCTTCAGTCTCACTGGAGGAATCTCCCCATGCTGCAAGAGCTTGTTTCACAACGTTATCAGTGGTATTCTTTCTTTTGAAGCATTTGTCAAGAACCGGGTTCCACTTGGCTGCTTTATCAGGGTTATACTTGAAGTGTTCTTGCTTTAGGAGAGGGTAATCTTTGATAAAATGCCTTGGATTTCCACTTTTATGACAAAGGTCATAATTCTTTGGTCTGCTGGAAATGCCTCTCTTTGGTATCCCTCCATTCCTTCTGACCATTTTCTGAAACCTTTTGGTTAGGTAAGCCATGTCACAGTCCTCCTCACTTGAGTCATTGCTTTCAACTTTGAGTACCAGGTTCTTTTCCTTCTTTGGTTCTCTTCTTTCACTGTCCTTCTTCTTCTTCATTTCGCAAGTTTTAAGATTTCCAACTAGCTCATCTATAGTTAGGGCCTGCAAATCCTTTGCTTCAGTAATGGCATTCCCTTTACTCTCCCATGAATTGGGCAAAAACTGAGAATTTTCCTCACGAGCTTGTTCCTAGGAATGATTTTACCAAGCGAGTGTAGCTCATTTATGATGGAAGTGAATCTTGTGTGCATGTCTTGAATAGATTCATCGTCTTTCACCCTGAAGAGCTCATACTTAGTGGTGAGCATATCAATCTTAGATTGCTTTACTTGAGTGGTTCCCTCGTGTGCTGTTTGTAAAGCTTCCCATCATTCCTTGGTGGATTGACAAGCTGAGATCTTTTTGTATTCATCAGGTCTTATGTCAAACACCAAAAAAAATTGGCACAAAAGTTTTTCTCCACAATTTTCTTATCTGCATCACTGTATTCTTTCCTGGTTTTTGGCGTCGTCAGTGGAGGGTTTTCGCCCTTCTTTGTTGGGACATAAGGACCATCACATATAATATCCCACAACTCAGAATCTTCTGCCATGATAAAGTCATGCATTCTTGTCTTCTACCATCCATAGTATTGCCCATTGAACCTGGGTGGTCTATACGTAGACTGACCTTCTTCAAAATTTGGTGGAGCAGCCATGAGGATCCTTCCTAGATGTGAACCTGATAGAAAGAACTCGTTCTGATACCAATTGATAGAATATATAAGCTCACCAAACTATATAGAGACCAGTTTCTATATAGGTTTCCACAGATAACACTAATGCAATAGTAAGTAAATGGTACAGGGAACTTTTACATGGAAAAATCCCTGATCAAGGGAATAAAAAACCACGACCTACACTGGTAGGATTTCAACTTCACTATGAGCAATCTTTAGATTACAATCTATGCAATCTAGGAAATAAACTCTTAATCCCTCCCTAACTTGTAATATACCTATTACAAGCCACTTTGCAATACACCTATTACAAAGACTTCAACTCATGACTAACTCTAGTCACGACACAAACACTAAAGGTTTATGATTTTTCAAGAGTTCCTAAAAGAAGCTTCTAAATAAGCAAAGTAGGAATTTCAATGAAGAACAATTACAAAGTTACAACTCAACTAAAGACATATACAAGAGACTTGTTGTCGGAACTAGTCCATAGTAGTGTTATACTTTGTTCTTGATGCACTTGAGAATTGAATGCTTGATTGTCAAATGCTTGAATGCTTTTGTGAATTCTCTAAGTGTCCAAGTGATGTTTTGTCGTAATGTTTAATGTTAATACAACATGGATGACATCACATGAATGATATAATCACTTCGTAGGTCAATAAGAAGTGACTGCTGAACTTGTTCCCTAGGTGCAACTATAAATAGTGACTTCAACAGTCATTGTAAAGGACACGAATTTTCTGACCAACTTATGCTACATACTACTTGAAAAGCTCAATAATACTTTATTTCTTGTCTATTGATATTTATATTTCTGCCTTCGGAAGCCTGCTCTCGAAACCAAGCTATCTTCTGCCTTATCTCGATTTCAACGCTAAGTTTTGTATTTTATTTATCATTTTGGGATCAAATCGATTCTCTTGTCTATAAACCACGTTATAAATTCAACTGTACCGTTTTACGGATAAACAATTGGCTACTTGAAATGGAGGTTTACAAATTAAATGATCAATTGCCATATCATGTACTGTGTTTAAATTTGATATATTGAATAGTACATGCGATCAGAAAATGATCGACATGCATATAAGCCAATGGAGCTAGTTCAACTAATATCTTCTTTACATTTTATTTTCAAGTAAAACATTACATTCAATTGTCGACTCTCCACAAAACAAGAAACCTAATGGGGAACAGAAGGAGCAATCACAAATTATTAAATAACGTCTAAGCATGATTCATCTACATGAAAAATAGTGAAAGAAGAAAAACGACTCCCATAGAAGAAGCAAAGGCCAAAAATTTTGGAGAAGCAGATGATGAGGAAGGAGCCTTAGCATCTGAAGACGATGAGTGATCGGAAGAAGGCAAAGGTGAAGGAGAAGGAGCAAGAGGCGTACGTGACTTGAAGCCAATGGTGAAGTTGCAAGTCCCTTGAGATGGATCCTTTGTGGTCACTGTTGCCTTGCCTTCAAAATCACAGCTCCCATCTTTCTGTTCCTGGTTTTGGAAATAAGCATTCAGTGCATATGATGCCTTGTCAGCGTCGCTAAGGTTTTGGCAAGATGATCCATTAGTAAGAGGTGTACAATCTGCACGGTCACAAGCATATGACATAAGGCTTGTAAAGTTTTTAACATCTGGCTTCACCACACACCATTTCTTGGGGAGTTTCTCCACGTTTGGCACAGGGACGAGAGTACTAGTCTTGTTCTTGCCAGACAGATCAAGAGGGAATTTTGGTGTTCCATCTTCGTAGTAGATTCCCCAGTGTGTCTCAAAGTTTCCAGGGAGCGTACTCTTCCTGTCCTCATCAAATAAGGCAAAGACGTAAGCCTCGAGGTAGCCAGGGCGACGGGGGCTGCCTTTACCTTTTGCGAGATATGATACAAATCCTTTGTAAAACTTTTCGGCCAATGTAACATTGGCATAAGGGTTTCCATCTGTAGGCCATCCCATTTCTCCTACCATAATGGTCATGTTGGGATATCCTGCTCCAGCAAGAGCAGCTGCACAAGTGTCAAGATTGGCATCAAAGCAATTGGTGTACTCAATGCCATCTTTGTCCTTGAGAGGATTGGTGACACCATCAAAGAAGGCATAGTCGAAGGGGAAGGCACCATTTCCATAGAAAAGACTAAGGAAAGGATAAATGTTGACCATGAAAGGAGCTTTGTTCTTGTCCAAGACTTTAAGAATGTAGTTGAGTGGATCAACGATGTCAGCGCGGAAAAAGCCAGCAGAAGGGACAGGATTCCAGCTTGGTGACAAGTAAACATCAGCATTTAGAGGTACAGTTGCCTTGGTGGTGTCACCAAGTCCAGCGTCATTCAGTGCATTTTGGATGTTCTCCAATGCTGGCCCTGTTACATTTGTCAATGTGTCCTTGTAATCTCTTAAGAATGGCTCATTACCAACACCTATAAGCCTGCATGCACCAAACCAATAACATATAATCAATTGAAAGGCGATTTGACATTATATATGAAGAGGAACCTGAATATATGTCACTACCTAGCTATTCGGATATTAAGAAGGCAAAAAGATATATAACAACAATAACAACGACCCAGTAAAATCTCACAGGTGGGGTCTGGGGAGGGTAGTGTGTACGCAGACCTTACCCCTACCCGAAGGAATAGAGAGGATGTTTCCAAAAGACCATCGGCTCAAGAAAACAGAAAAGACGAGAAGAGATAATATATTGGTACCATCTAATAGAAACCAAAGAAATAATAACAACATCATAAGAATTAGAAAATAGTTAAAATGCAATAAAAAAAACAGAAAATAAGCTCCGATACCATGATATATACTTACGTGATATTAACACCTTTAGGAGACTTTGGATCGAAACGAGTGACGTTTTCTTTGACCCATTTCGTGGCTACATCAGGATTGACCAAATCCTTGAGGAGTTGATTGGAGATGCCAATCATGACCTCAATGCCAGTTCCTGCCAAGGCATTCAAGATGGTCTCATCGTTATTGAAAAGTTTAACCTTCTTAATGCCATTTTCTTGCAACATTTTTACCACATCCTTAGGAGGCAACTTGTGGGAGGAGATATCACCCCAGTTCACCCCAAGTCCTTCCACATTGTGCCCCAAAAACACCAACAAAGTTAGTAGGGCCAAAAACTTTTTTCCCATGTTTTTTTCCTTTTTTTGTATTTTTGTTTTGGTTTTCCTGCTGGCAGGAGGAAAATGGGATACTGGGTAAACTTGAATGCTTCAACGCCTGCCAATGGTAACAACAATGTTGGAGGTGAATTTATAGGGAAAGAAGGAGAGCAAATGGAGGGTATTGCATGAATTGCAGTCATTCCCCATTAGATGTCAAACAATGTCGAAAATTAAGGAATGGTTTGGCTCATAATTCGGACATGCAGTTTAAAAAGCATACGGATTTAGACAAACAAAAAGTGGAAAATATAATGTTAGTTAATCTCTGATAAATTACAACCAGACAACAACTTGTGAACAAAATTGCTCAAGTACGTGAATTACTCCTGCTACATTGGTGCGGCTACGTCATGCATTACTTCCACATTTCATCTGCATTTTTATTTTGTCATTTAAAGGAAGGAAATACTCTTTCAGCCTAAATTTTTGTCACTTCTCATTGGCTAGGGACCGACTAACTTAACCCTGTTATTGAGTTAAATTGAACAAAGTTAGATTTTCCTCCGATCATTTATATAAAAAGATACACTTAGCCAAACAATATTTAATTTGACTATTGAGAAACAGAAAAGCAAAATCATTTTTGCATTGCGAAATTACTAAATTCACTATTAGATAGAACTAATTTTTGCCAGTTGCCTACAAGGTACTAGGCGCAATAAGATAGATCAAGTTATAGTATAAGGTGGAAAAATATTCCCCAATAGGACTAAAATGTTTTAAATGCAAGACAAAATTTTGATGGCAATTTAGTGGTTTTTAATTGAAGAAAAAATTAGATGGCGTTTTATTATGGTAATCTTATCCACACAAATACTTTTCAATTCCTAATTGTGAATTGTTTTCCATTGAAGGCAGCAAACATATTATTTATAAACATTTGTCGTAGGAAGAGGGCGCGTAGGATGGGGCAGAGAGTACAGTCATCATGAAATCATATTCAAGTAATCATGATTAATAGTTTCAAAGCATCACTAGATAGACTAAGAACGGGCGGATCGAGGATTTTAAGAGGATGGGTGCACGATTGTACAGATGTAGATATAGAATTTATATTTGACTGGTTTAACTTTAGTCTCTTACTATGACCTACTACATTTTCAAAATTATAGATTCAAAATTATATTTTTATTTGAAATTTTAGTAGTTTTCACATATATATCTATACTCCGTGCCGAAAACAAGACCGTTCAGAGTGGGATTTGAATTACCAATTTCACTTGTAGAGGTGCACGCAATAATAATTGCACCATAATAGAATTTGAACATGAGTTCACACATATATATTTAAGTAATTTTGAAAAAATATAATATAGTTATATATAATTTATGATTTAGGAAGAGGAGTATGGGTTCACGCGATCCCATATCCGTCAAGTTGGACAGGAATACCTGAACTTCCTGAGCTTACTCACACCCAAGAAATGAAGGAATCACTCCATCTTATTAACAAACTGCTAATGATCCTCTTATATACATCTATGTCCAAACTTTCCAAGTGCACTCCGTCGGACACTTAACACTTTATATATAAGTAGTCTTGCTAATTGTGCAACTGTAATGTAACGATCTGATCGCTCATTTTAAGAATTTATGTTCCATTAGGTGGCTTAAGATATCGAGTAGCTTCACATTGTGTATTATAACTTGCGTATATGGTCGGATTCGATTGTCGGGTGATTCGAGATTGATATGGAGGGATGGTTCTCATTTTAGAAACTTAAGTGGTAAATATTGATCGGAGTTTGACTATTATATAGATGACTATGGAATGGTATTTTGATGATTCCAATAATTTTGTATGGTAATTTTGAACTTAGGCGTATGTCCGGATTTAAATTTGGAGGTCCATAGGTTGATTTGATGCATTTTGCAGAAGTTGAAAAGTTGAAGGTTTGGAAAGATGAGAGGTTTAACCAGGAGTTGACTTTATTGATATCTGGTTCAGATTTTGATTTCGGAAGTTGGAATAGCTCTGTTGTGACATTTGGGACTTGCATGCAAAATTTGAGGTCATTCCGAGTTGATTGATATGATTCGGCGCGAGTTGTAGAAGTTGAAAATTCATTAGTTTATTAGACTTGAATTGAGGTGCAATTCATAGTTTCGATATTGTTTGATGTGATTTGAGGCCTAGAGAAGGTCCGCGTTATGTTATGAAACTTGTTGATATGATCGGATGGGGTCCCGGGGGCCTCGGGTGTATTTCGGATGTGCTACCGTCCATTCCTTCATATTTTAGAGTTGTTAGGTTCTCTGTTATTCAGCAGTTCTATGCGTTCGCATGTGGAAGATGCGATCGCGAAGTGTATGTGGTGTGACTAAGGAGTTACTCATCACGTTCAAGAGTTGGTCATCGCATTCGCTTCCATCATGTCATGATCGCATAGATTTAGAGCTGGAGGGGAGCTAGGGGATTGGCTATTGTGGTCGTGTGAATAGTGTCGTGTTCGCATAGTTCAGTTGAGCTGATGGGTCGCATTTGCGAAGGGTTATTTGGCAGCTTATGATTTTGTGCTTCACGATCGCAAAGCATGTTCCCTAATCGCGAAGAGAAAGACCTAGGCAGACTATATAGTACTCTATTTTCTAGGGCTTTTTGTCATTTTATCTCTTTTTGAGTTAGAGAGCTCGGATTTGGACGGTTTTGGAGAGAATTTTTCACCATTTGGATTGAGGTAAATATTCTTGACTCGGATTTAGTTATATTTCATGATTCCAACTTTATTTTTATCATTTAATTAGTGATTTGAATTGGAGAAATTTGGGTTTTTTGTAATAAAACTTCTAAAACACAAAAATGATAATTTCAAGGTCTATTTGATGTCGGAATTGGATAATTTTGGTATGGTTGGACTCGTATTGGAATGGGTACAGTGTTCAAATTTTGTGAGTTTTGTCGGGTTCATTGTTGAGTTATTTTTTCCCATTTTATTTTTTTTATTGAGATTCTTGTACATATTATGGTTGAGTCATGGGCTATGTGTTGTGGTGATATTGGTATTGTTGTTTTGGAAAGGGTTGTGGCCTATGGGCACTTGTTGTGCGAGTTGTTATGTTGTGTTATTTTTTATGTTATCACATGCAATTTTGTTGTGTGGTTTGATTGTGGTTATGCGGATCATAAGGGTAGCATATCACTTTTGTTGATTATGTAGAGTGATATGGGTGGCTATGGTGTTATTGTCTTAACAGAGAGATACAGGTGGCTATTATGTGGAGCAATATGGGTGATTATGCGAAGTGATACAGGTGGCTATTGTGTTATTGTCTGGGCGTAGCAATAAGGATGGATATTATGATGTTGTCAATACGGAGAGATAACGTTTGCTATGTCAGGGAGGATATGCGATGTTCTTGGGGCACTATGCTGATGATATTTGTGTCATAGTGTGAGTTTTTCTTGTGTATGTCATGCACCTTACGTGACTTGTTGTGTTTATTTCAATGAGCTACTCGATGTCTGTATATTAGTTGTTGACTTGGACTGTACTAGTACACTCCACAAGCATACATTGTATCATGCCACTTATACCAGTTCAAGAGTATGAAACTTGACATTTATTGATCATGCCTATGTAGTATTGTATTATCTACTTCCATTGTGATATTGAGCCTGTGATCATGCCAAGAGAATTGTGGTAGTGAGCCTATGACCATGCCAGGCAGATTTCGGTATTGAGCCTGTGACCACGCCGATCAAATTTTGAATGTGATCCTGTGATCATGTCGGGTGGATTGAGATATTAGCACGTGATTTGTTCGTACAGTTGTGGTTAATAATGTGGGCACAAGGTACCGTGAGCATATGATTGAGATATCTGAGTCGTCATCAGTCCCATCATCAAAAGCTTGATGGGCGTTAATATGTGCATGTGGGCATTCATTGTTCCAATGTGGTCCACCGCAATGATGGCATCCTGAAGGAGGCTTTTTCCTCTGGTCATTTTTGTTTGACGCAACACTATTGCTGTATAAGGAGGGAGCCTTAGATCAGGCTACACTCCAATCTCCCCCACTTCTACTAGGGCCACCATTGCTAGGTTGGCCCCCTTTGAATCCCACTCAGGCAGGCAGCTGAGGCATATCCTTCCAATCTTCCACTTGATAGTTCCTAAGGCATGCAGCTGCTTGGATCGCCTTGGGTAGGGTATCTACCCTTTGTCGTTGCAGCTCCATACATGCATAAGGTTTTAACCCTTCCAGGAAGGTGAAGAGCTTGTCTTTGTAACCCATGTCACATATGTTTAGCATGAGCGTGCAGAATTTCCGCACGTAGTCCCGCACTGATTTGGTCTGGTGGAGCTCCCATAGCTTTCTCCTTGCGTTGTATTCAACATTTTCGCGGAAGAACTGTACGCGTATGGCTTCCTTCAGTTCTGCCCATGTCTCGAGAGCATCTTCATCGGCCCTGATGGCTTCGTACTTCACCCGCCACCAGAGTTCAGTATCACCCTGAAGATACATGGCAGCAGTTGCTACTTTCTTAGCTTCTTCTAGGCCTCCAACAACATTGAAGTACTATTTGATGTTAAAGTTGAAGTTTTCCACTTCCTTGGCATTCCTAGCCCACTGTATGGCTTTACAGCGCCCCTGATTTGGTTTCCACCTTCTTGAAGCAGGCCGTGTAAAGCAGCATTGACAACATTGAGATGGTCCGTCAAGTTGTCAATAGTTTGTTGTATGGCAGTCATTCTGTCTGCCTCTTGTACCCTATAGGCTAAATCCTCAGCACGCTCTTGTTGGAATCCCTCGAATTTGCCAAAAATTCTGGCTGCCTCTGTGGCTGCCATTTGTCGGTCTCCCTCGGAGTCGCGACTGATGTTTTCTATGTCAACTTCGACCTGGAGCACTCTGCGATCTAGGTCGTCCAACCTTTGCACTAGACTGGTTCTTAATTCACGCATCGTATCCCAAATGGGGCGTAATGCGGCAATCGTCTCTTCAAGGGCCGCAATGCGGTCCCCATGATTCACCATGGTCAAAAATGGTGGTAATGGCAATGCGTTCCCTCATCCAATATCGAGCCTAGGCTCTGATACCAACTGTTACACGGCGCCTTCCTCAAATT